ATGGTTGTCATTATGAGATGTCCCAGAACATCTGCTGGCTTGGTGGCCCAGAGACCAAAGGCAATGATGATGTCAGTGGAGCTCTTGAGAGAGGCGCAACTCTCCTGCCACATGACAGCAGCCGAAATGTTCAGGGCATCTCAGCTCTCTGAGCTCTGTCACAGAAGAACCCCAACAGTGTGATTTGCTAAAACCACCAACATGACTCAAGAAAGCAGCACAGGTCAGGATGCCAAAGGTCACCTTGCTCTGAGATGTGACATAAGGCCACAGGCTGCTTGGACTTGGAGCAGCCTGAAGGGAGAGACTAAGCAGAGGTGTTTCTGGGGCTTGGAATTCTGGGCCCACAGTTACAGCAGGGAAGATCTTTCCCAATAAGGGGAATGTTTCCCTTCATCTCCTCTTCCCCCAGTCACCCAGCACTGATCACCAGCTTCTCTCCCACCTCAGCCTGGGGTCCTGTCCCCACTTAACTCCATGCTGTAGAGGCTCGATGCAAGCACCAGAACATCCATGAAGGCCTCCTTGCCAGCACCTACACCCACTTCAGTCTCCCACTGGGCAACCTCTGGCTCTTTCCCTAGTGCTGCTGGGACACTGGGTCTCCTCTGCTGAAGCAATCATAATCTTCTATTGAAAATGCTTGTTTAAAGTCTGTATTTTACTCCCTTTTTCCATGGCACTTTTCACCTCCCACACACTATGATGATTTACTTACTTATCAGGTGCACTGGATTAGCTATCTTTTAAATCACACATCAGCTCTTCAGCCAGATCACTCATCTTATTTGCTCACTGAAATATCCCAAGTGCCAAGAACAGCGTCTAGCTGGTAGGAGTAGCTCAGGTAGTACTTGCTGAATGAAAAGATAAACAATTTTAATTTTCCTTGCTAGACTATCTGTCTCCTGAGAGCTGAAACTGTCTTAACTCTGTAGCCCTGTATGGGAAATAAATAACACCTCCCCACAAAGTGGCCATGTCCTAATCCCTAAGGCTTACAAATATGTTACCTGCCACGACAAAGGAACTTTGCAGGTAAGATTGCATTAAGGATCTTGTGACAGGGATTACTTTGGACAAATAATCCAGGACTACCAAGTTAAGTCCCAGGTAATGAAAGGGGTGCTAAGAAGTAGGAGGCAGAGAGTCAGAGTCAGAGCAGATGATCTGACTGTGAAAACAGAAGCCAGAGTGATAGACATGAGAACTCAAACTGCCCCTACTGGGCTTTGCAGAAGCAGGAAGCGAACCACAAAGCAAGAATGCGTCTGGCCACTATATACCAGAAAAGTCAAAGAAGGAATATTTTCCAGAGGGATGTAGTTCTGTTCATACTTGATTTTCACACAAGGAAATCCAGCCCAGACTTTCCAGAGTTGGAAGTAATATACAGTGGTGCTTAAACCATTTATTTTGTGGACACTGTGACAGCAGCAGTTGGAATTCCATCCAGGGAGTAAACACACTGCAGCTGCACAGTCAGTGCCCGCTCAATGAGTAAGTCAACAAAGCAGTCTAAACAAGATGTAATCCATAAGGACAGCACAGAATAATGTCAGCCATGAGCCAATGGTGACAACTGCTGACGCTATTCTCTAAAGTTTTCCTTTAAACTAGTTGTGACTCAGACACTCATGATAGTATTTCCTATGCTGACAGGTCTACATCCAACTTAGGCAGTTTTATTAATCAAATATGTAAATTTCCTCTACATAAAACCTCATGGAAGAAAAGAAAGCAAAAGAAAGAAACCAAGCTATAGAATGAAAAGTGTCTGGTCTTAGCAAAGGCATGCTTAGTCACTCCCCATGGTTCTCATGTGTGAATGCCTGCTAGGCTGAGGACAGGTGGGCCAAGATTCTTCTTCTCCACATTTCTCAATGCTAGCAGATCCTATATTTTTAATGCTGATAGTTGAGAAGGGAGAAGTGCTGGAGAACTGTGGAGGACATATTTTTGGGTTCCATAGAGAAGTCAGAAGGGCTAAAAAGCAAGACGAAAACAAAGAAATAAACAGCTTCTTATCAGCTCTTTGTTTCCCAGCACTGTCCACCTACCGTTACCTACCATTATTTTCATCCCAGAAACCGAAAACTTGAAGATTTGGGGTTAATTACGTTTAATTACCAATGATGAATTTTGACATGAGAGACTCTTTTCAATTAACATTCATGTATCATGAAAAAAGATAAAATGATAAACAGACCATACAACTATTTGCTTGTATGGAAAATAAGTCCTGACATTTTTAACACCAAGAACTAACTCAGGTACAATCTAAAATTTTTTTTTTGGCCCAGTGGAAGATGTTACAAATAGAAAATTTTAGAAGACCTCAAAATATGCTATTCTAATAGTAATTTTACAGTTTATTCTCTACAGTATCACATCATGATCTTTAAGATGAGGTTTGCTCTCTTCTCCGTAGTATTAACTTATAGATATAATTAGAGAATAAGATCATGAAACCTACAATGTAGTTAAGTCTATTAATAAGTATTTATGGAGCAACTATTTAAAATGTCTATGATGTCTTTGTCTGGGGCAAGAGGAAGTCCCCAACATCAAGGCTATATACTCCCCACATAGTGAAGGAGAAAAATTATTGCTCTTTAGCAGGTACGCTGGGGCTCACATTTCAGTGGTTCACGACTGTAAAGTCCTAAACTAGAGTTAATGAAAAGAAAAATGGAAATCAATGTATCTAATACAGTCAGCTATATTTCAATTTAAGTGATGGGACCATTGAAATCAGACAGCATTCTTTTACCTGAGAGAGTCTGAAACATTTTAATTCCTTTGCTATAGGGGTGGATGATACAAGCATGGGAGTTGAATGTCTACTCATTCCACCCATCTGCCTTCCTGTCAACCACATATCAATGGCCATGGTGAGCTAGGACTGGGCCAGGCTGACAAGATAATGACTAGGACACATGCCTTCTTGGGGAAGTTTCCAGAGGCAGTTCTTCACAGCTGTGCTCAACAGCACCACAGTTAGCCTTCTGTTCACAATAAGAAAAAGATTCTCTCAAGGGTGCCAGTGTTTCTGCCTCCTGCAAACACGTTTCCCTTGTTTACAGTGGTTGTATGGGATGCTTATCTGCTTCATTCCCTGTCGAGCCATCAGTCTAATGCCCGGAAGCATATCTAAGCTGCATCCTAAACCTGCGACCTAATGTATCACTGCATTGCCTGTGATGCTCAATAAATCACCAGGAGCAGCAAATCAATCCTGCTTGGAGGAAGAAGACACAAATCACCATCAGTAGCACCTTCCTGTACCTCAAGAAGATTTAGCAAGTAGGAAACATCCAAATTCCTCCTGATTCTGTCCCAATTAGACCTTTCCTGAAGTACCAGGTCTAGCTGTGGACTCCATGTGTCAAGATGCAAGGGAGAAGTTTCAGAAGAGATTTATAAGACAGTCTGAAGATTGCGGGCCAGTGAACACCAAGAAAAGGTAAAATCTATTTAGCTTGGAAGTATACGGTTTATTCTCAACCACTGCAGAATACCAGGTCATAGCAGACTGGAACACCTACCTGCCTATTGTCCAACCTCCATCCAAGACCTAGAAAAACACCATACTATGAAGGAGGGTGCACAGAACACACAATCCCAACATTTCCGTGGATAGACTTGAGTCTTGAGCACAGATCATAATATCCAGAGCTGAGCCAGAATGTTCCAGTCACCCCAGAGACTTACCTGGGCTACATTTTACACTTTGAGTTGTGCCTTAGGCCACCTAGGGGCAAGTTATGATGATAGCACTGGACATCCACTCCTGACTCATCAAAGGCAGGCCACTGGGAACACAGCACTTGAGGGTTCACACTGGAGAGCCGTGTTTGTTTTTAAGGCCAAGCTTACCCATCCTCTAAGTGAAGTGTTTCCTGTTTCCTTCTTGTTTTCAGTTACACAAGGCAGTATCAGATTTATGCTCAAATCTGGGTAGCACACACCTCTTTCAGATCTCTTCTCAAAAGTCACTGAAGTCTCTGATAACCCTTTATAAAACAGCACCAGCCCACACTCCTCAGCCCCACACCCCTTTCTGTCCCCTGTACTTGTTCACCATTTGCCAACCTTTACATCATGTTTTACCCTTACACCCAGTTGAAGTGACCACTATGACAGCAGACAATGGTTTCCTCTTGGAATCCATCAAGCAGAACCCTGCCGGACAACAGTAGGTACCATACTCAATAAATACCTGGTGAATAAGTCACTGAAAGAATGGATAACTGTGTGAAACTCTATGGCCTTCACTACAACTTTCTTCATGAACTTGGACTTTGATTCTAAATTATATATTTCCCTGGTTCTGATGTGTTTGTTGCTTTTATTTTCTGTCTTTAAAGTACTTGTGTAAGCCAGCTAAGCTCTTTCATAAAATGAAGTGGGAGACAGTAGATGGAGAGACAGGTACAAACAGATAGAAAAGATGCTGTAATTATCAAACACGCTGCATTCTAACAGATGGTGGGTGAGTCCTTGTTGAGGACAGAAGACGAAATGAGCCAAACAGGACTACTATTCAATTAGTAGAGCAGCCTCCTTTACAACCGATCATTCTCTTCCTATTCTGTGTAGGATCTGAAGAGATGATGTTTACTCAGGTAGTCCATGGGGAAATACTCATGGACTGGCTGTCCTCATGTCCTGCTAATCTTCTTGGTGGGGTCTCAGGAAAAAACAAGGGTTGCTTTCCACCATAGATGTGCGTCCATGTCCTGCTCATTTGCATTCTTAGATTCTTTGAAAAGAAGATGAAGAGTTTCCAGAGTGTTTGATAAATATCCTATACCTCTTCCCCAAACACATCCCCATACATGGAGCAGTTCCATAATAAGCTAAGGCAGAAGAAAATGTGACAGACTAGACCAATTTCACTGCAAATCTACCGTAAGCAAAGTCCTGGAAACATAAGGGGAGGGCAGGGGCTGCACAGTGGCAGGAGGCGACAGTGTGTCAGAGCACAAGGGTTTTACCTGTTTTACCACAGTCACTGTCCCAGGTGCCATGGCAACTACTGAGGCTACAGCAGTGGCATCATGAGTCTCGGTGCCCAGCTCGATGATCTGCTGTAGAATGTTCACAGCTGTGGGGTCGAGGCGGTCACCTTGGGAGGAAGAAGCAAACAGGAGACCATCAAGGCCACTGAGCTGAGAAGCATCCATTGTAAAATCAGTCTGGCTTCCCTAGAGTGATTCCTTTCCCAGAGGACATACGGGTTCTTAGTAATCACTTATTCCAACAAGAAAAATAATCTGTATGTTACTTTATGGCTTAACAAGCATTTTCTGTAGGAACCTCTCAAAGCCCCAAGCAACCTGTATGGAGGTGGCACTGTGACGCTATCCCCATTTCACTGACTGTCAGTTGGGCACAAAAGCAAAGGGACTTGCCTCTGGCCATTGAGGCAATTACGTCACAAAGCCAGAATTTAAGCCCCAATGTTCTGAATCCCAGCTTGAAGACACAAGACTGTCCCTCACAGTGTCACTCCTGAAGGTATCAGCTGACATAGATGCAGAGCTGATTTCTCCAGAGCACATGGCAGGTGGTCACGGAAAGTGTGTCAGGTAAATTACACAGGAGATGGGCAAAAACATCCAAAGATATCTCAATGATCCAACCAAGGGGCTTGCAAACTCCAGACCCATTTAAGCTTGGGCTTCTGCTTTAATCACGTCAAACAACAGGGCTCCACAACTACGGGCAGCACCTCAGAACATCCTGCTGCTCTCATTATCTGCTTGGCCACCTGTAGCCTCCCGAACACACCCTAACCCTGATCACTAATTCACTAACAGGGAGATTATTGCTTGGTATCCACACTGGCATAAGGTCATGAAGTCTTTGTTAGTTTTCATCCCCTGGGGATTTTGGGATTACGGATGATCATCTCCCAATAGCAAAAAGTTATGGAAGAGATCCTATCTGCAGAGAAGAGGAGGAAAAAGTTGGAGGCATTCCTCACTTCAAATGAGATTTGAGAGATGTGTAAAATCTGATAAAATCTGATACCTTCAGGAGTGACACTGTGAGGGACAGTCTTGTGTCTTCAAGCTGGGATTCAGAACATCGGGGCTTAAATTCTGGCTTTGTGACGTAATTGTCTCAATGGCCAGAGGCAAGTCCCTTTGCTTTTGTGCCCAATTGACAGTCAGTGAAATGGGGATAGGGTCACAGTGCCACCTCCATACAGGTTGCTTGGGGCTTTGAGAGATTCCTACAGAAACAGTGCAAATTGTATAGAAAAGCACCATCTGCATAAGGCTGTAGCAGTGTAGGCAATGAAGCTGTTTAATGACAATGCCACACTCCTGTGAAATCCTCAAAATGAGGCGAAAGCAAGTGTCACTGGATAGGTGCCTTGTTAAGTCTGCACGAAAAAGAAGAGATTCCACTGAGCCAATAGACAGCAGTGATTCTGTTAGTGATAGCAAAAGTCATCCTACACAGTAACCCTTCTCTCGTCTCTTTCACACCAGCCATGAAGGTTTTCAAAGGTAAGTATAGGTTAATTTGTTTCTGTTTATATGTGGTATTTTATTATTCTGTGTTATATTACAGTATTGTGATCATTTTCATATTAATATTTTGAGGTTGTGGAATGAATCATCTGAGTTTGCATTATTTCTTCTGGGGAAATTCGCTTTGATGTGCAAGTGTTTTAGATTGCAAGTATATTTCTGGAACAAATTGTGCTTGCAAACCAAAGTTTTAGTATTCATAATGCACCCCTGGTACCCTCTTCCCACAGCCACACATGCCCCTTGCAGCAGATGACTCACACGGGCCTTGCAGCCAAGCAATCCCAGCATCAAAAGACTAAAATATTTACCTATAAAATACAGTGAGGTTAGATGCCAACTCCTCATCCACTCACTCCCTCACTGACCACTTACTAAGCCCTAAGAGTCAGCAGAACTGTCGTTCCTACAGGCAAGACCTCACACGACCTCCCTCTCTGCTTCTTTCTGGGCTCACAGGCTCCTGAGACACAAATGTAAGCAAACCATTAGGTCACCTGTAGCCTGCTAGATTCCATATCAGCAGGGCAGTCAGGTAATACTGTAAGAAAGTGAGGTGGGTTCCCAGTAGAAGACACACAATCTGAGTGCTGGAGGTGGGGATCAGATGGACAGAGAAAATGATATGGGGAGGAAGGGGCCAAACCATTATCCCAAGACACTGGAGCACCCAGGTGAGGAATGCAGCCAGTGCTGAGAACCACACCCTGGGGTGGGAAGCAAGAGACAGGGCAGCTTGGGCAGCTAGGCACCGGAGCAGGAGGGTTTGGCCTTCTGAGCTGCATGCAAAGTTTGAGATGTGTTTTAAGGGCTTGTGAGACACCAGAGGGCCTTATAAATCATGTGTGCACATGGGAATGAGTGTGCGTGTATTGATTTTATGGGATGAAGACAGGCTATGTTTTGCACGTCTTGAAGAATTACTGAACACAGAGGAAGGAAACACACTGAAGCAGGATCTTAGGCTGGCAGCTGCTCTTAACAGCCCAGGCCACTCTTGTCTGTAGCAATGCAGGCTCTGTCTCTGAATTCCCTCCAGCTGAGTGTGCAGTGGGTCCAGTCCTGCCCATTCATCTCTCTAAACCGACTGGTCTTTAGGAGCTGTGGTGCAGCTTTCTTCCGACCTACCATTGGGGAATTTAAGAATTGGGTGGAAACGGTGTTTTCCTGAATCCTACATCCTACAGCATTGGACTCACCAAGTGCTGATCTTTTAATCCCACTTGCTTAATCTCCACCTCCAAATATAGATGAAGCTGTGGAATGTAACATTAACTTGTATTCACACATCATCAGAAAAACTGGTTTCCAAGCATAATGATGGACTACCACTAGACTAGTAGAGCTTGGTTTTGAATTTATGGAAAATTTAAAATTCATCACATTTGATGTAGAAATCCTGGCTGGGCCTTTGGGGAAGATTGTGGGGTGGGGATTGAGTGATGTGGGACACGTGAATGTGGTCAGTAGCCCTGGATTAGAGGTGGTCTGTAATGGGACCCAGAGCACACCACAGCCTCAGTCACCACTGCCACCTGATACTGTCTGCCAGGACCCTATGGGCCAAGGGATGAGCCCCTGGAATGGATGAACACAAGAAAGCATGCAACAGGGACCATGCCCTGAGAAGTTGAGAGCCAGGCTCCATGGCCAGCTGCACCACCAAAAGTGGGCCTGGGCATTCCCCACTCCATCTACCACCAGCAATGCAAGTCACCTGCATAGCTGTGAAGTGTGAACAGTGAGATCTACTCCTCTCACACGCTGTTCTGGGAATGAAGTTTATGTCATAGGAAAATCCTGCATCCCTGTCATGAGGCATATCTCCTGCCAGGACTATTCTGGACCATTTCCAGAGACAGAGATCCTGGGACCTGACAACAGGCCTGTTCTTGCACTATGAATGCTAGGTCACGGGCTTTGATGTGAGTTGAGTGGCGAATACCATTCATTCATTCATACATTCATTCATTAATATAAAAAGGCCAGCTCTGAGGTCTCAAAGACAGGTGTGTCCTCACCGCTCTCAGAGGTGTATCTCAGGTCCTGGAGTGCAGCCACAGCTGCCTGAGTGCCCTGAACATCTTCTTCAGCCTCTGTGATGTGGAGATACTGCGTGGAGGGCTCCTCAGCAGTTTCTGCTGCTGGCTAAATACAAACATAACACCTAAGTGGCCATTTGGAAGACCAACAGTTACCCAGAGGTTCCAGGATAATGTATTAAGACAAATGCACAGAAGAAAGTAACCACTTATAGTACCTCATTTACCTGGCACCACCCTACCCCAAGAAACCAGCTGCTCCAATAAATACATGCCCCACAGAGAAATCACCTCTTTGCAAGAACCAAAACTTTGTAAAATCAGATTTAGTGATACCCATTCCTGCAGCAGGGAGCAGAGTACGCTGTTCATAATCAGAAATGTGCAAGCTCAGATGTTCTCAAACATGCACTTCTAAAGGCTTCTCTGTCTCCTCCCACTGCTACCAACACTGCCTCTTACACTGGGGCCTTGTGCCATGGGCTATGGAGCAGCTGATGGTAGAAAGGAGCAGAGGAAAGAAAGAGGGTGGGTAATTATACAGCATGTAAAAGCACAGGTCTTGGCACATGGTAAGAGTCCAGTAAATCTTAGCCATTCATGCCATTCTTATTTGTAATGAAGGATACAATAAACCATAATGATTACAAGAAATGTATTTGGTAACTATCAACTTGTAGAAGTTGAAGTGACATTCACAGGTGCCTCAAACCTAGCGAAGCAGTGGGTCAGAATTTTCATAGAATTAGATATTAATGATGAGCTCTTTCTATTAGGGCTGAGAAATGCAAGGGAAACATGAATATCACCAATAAAGAGAAGGGAAAGCAGGACTTTGAAGTTTATAGTAGCCAAAGTTATGCACTATAAGAACTCATCAGTAGCTGACATTGAGGTCTGAGGTTCACAGTAGCATGTAATTGTCCTTTTACAACTAACCAAGCAATTTCATTTAGATGTTTCCAGCTTGACATATAGTAGACTCGATAACTACTTGATAAATGCAGAAATTAACAAAAAGCAGAGGTGGCATTTCCACTTTTAAGTACCATTAGTAACATATTAACTAGCACTGGACGTGAGCTATGTCTTTGCCTGCAAAAGGATAGGTAGGACACACCTTGAATGTCATAGCTCCTCTCACTCCAGTGTCATAACCACTTGTCATAATCACTTTTAGGAATGACAGCACTCTTTGCAAGGCATTCCTGACAGCCCAATGGCAGCCCGAACTCCTACCTCCTGAATGACCCACTTTACTGTGAAAAACACTTTTACTAACCAGATCTCATCTACAACTCTTTCTTTGGCCTTACAGTATCCGGCAAAACACTATTTTCCACTGTTGCCTAAATCAGCCTCATTCTTCCCACCAAGTTCAGGGTGACCATATCATTCATCTGTGATGCAAGTTGATTCATGTGCCACCTATACTTTTTTTCCTCCTTTGGTATTACTGGGGATTGAATCCAGGGCCTTCATATAAGCTACATCTACCACCCTTTTTATTTATTTATTTATTTTAATTTTGAGACAGGGTCAAAACACATTAAGCTCATTAACATATTAAGCTATGCAGGCTCAGCCTGAACTTGCTACCCTCTTGCCTCAGTCTCCTGGAGTGCTGGGCTTACAGATATGAGCCACCACACCTGGCTGACACTCTCTTTTTAAAAAATACTAACAAAACAGCCTCACTATTCTTCAGGACACTTTTTCATGTAACAGTCCACCCCAGAGACACCCCATGGAACCAGCCAGGGGCACCTTTCTTCCTTCTCACAATTGCATAGCTGTCCAGTCTCTGGCTGGTGGACACTGAATTGTTTATAGCCATGTGCTGGACATATAGCCTTTCACAGAGACTTTTTCCCATTTTGACAGTGTGACTCGAAGGTGGTTCCCTACCAGTAGTATAGTCTGGTAAATGAACACACAAATGCATATATAATTTTGTTGCATACTGCTATCCCCTTCTCAGGGGTAGAGTATATTTTCTCACAGCTTCTCCAACAGGGATAATGTCAAACGTTTGGATTCCTATCAGTCTAACAAGTGAGAAGTTCTATCTCAGTCTAGTTTTAATTAATATTTTGTTTATTCTGCGTGGAGGTTATTTGCATTTATTTCCATGAATCTTTCTCATTTCATGCCCATTCTTCTATTGGGCTGTTGAATTTTTATCAGTGTATTTTGAGGTCTCTTATAGAAAGATGATATTCTTTTTCTACGATATTACTGAAAATATTTTTTATCTTTCATCTTTTTGTTTCAGTTCTTTTCTAAAAAACTGTTTAGTATTTTATGTGGTTAATTTTTTTCAATCTTTCCATTGCTGAATCTACAGTGTGAATTGTAATTAAGAAAGTTCTTCAGATTTTACAGGTGAATTCAGTCATGATTTAATCTAACATTTGTAAAACACCACTATTTTTACATTTAAGTCCCTGATCCTTTTGAAATTTGTCTTATCTAAGTTTTGAGAAACAGATCCAACTTTCTTTTTCTTTGTGGCTATTTAGCTACTCAACATGGCTCACTAGAACCCTATGTTTCTTCTACCAATAATAAATACCATCTTTACATTACACTAAACTTCCACATAGCATTGGGACTTCTTTGACTTTTCTATTCTACTTCATTAGGACCTCTTCATGCACAAACTCACAATGTCCTAGTTGTAGAGTTTTCATAACATGTTTTGATATCCTATAGCATTCTCCTACCACTGTCAGTTTTCTAAGGATTTCTTAAATATTCCTAATTATTCTCCCAACGTAACTTCAGAAATCAAGCTGATTAGCTCCAGAAAAAAAAACTAATGATATTATATTACATTGATCTATCATCTAAAATCTAATGATACCATATTACATTGATATATCATCTTATGAATGACCTTTAGGAGTATTAACATCTTATATGCTATTTGTGATGGACACCTGTTCATTTGTTCAACTCCAAGTTTAGGTCTCCAAGGAGTGTTTTATGGCTTTCCATGTATAGATTTATGCATTGATTTCTGTTTTTCTGTTTCCTATAATAAATGGCGTCTTTGCTTCCTGTCTATCTTCTATCTGAATATATATATATATATATATATATATATATATTTTTTTTTTTTTTTTTTTTTTTTTAAGAGGAAATGATTGAAGTTTGGGGAAGGACGAAGATTGTGAGTGTATAAGGAAAGAAAGTACATTTTTGTGGAACACACAATGGGGCTACCCAGCAAAATTCAGATTTTCAGCAGTGTTTTTACTGTTACAGCATTGTCGCAAAGTAAGTGGATAGTTTAGTTTGGGTTTGTTTGGAATAAGTAGTCTAATGGAAGAAGAATGGACAGAAGGGGTGAAGGGTATTTTTTCTGATTATATATATGCACATAAACACATATATGCACATACTTATCTATACATGTACATGTATACATGTGTGAATATATGCTATTAATTATTGTTACTGATCTTTTAATTTTCTGTTTATTGTCTGTAGTAGTTTCTCATTCATTCTTTAGAATTTTCCAAAAATATAAACCCATCATATGCAAACAGAAATATTTTTATTTCTTCCCTTGGGATTCTGGTTGTATTTACTTTGCACTTTCTACCGACACTGGCAGATGTTGCCCATAGCCTGTTAATGGCTAGTAGGGTTGCTGAGCATTCCTGTCTTGTTTCTGACGTCAGAGCAAACCCTCCAGTTGCTTCCCAATGAAGGAAAACACTGGCTTTTGGGCTGAGACACACATATTTTTATCATCTTAAGGACACATCCATCAGGTTCTTACTTTATCATCTGTTTTTAATCAGTGAATATTGAATTTCGCCTTATGCCTTTTCTGCATCTGTGAAGAGGATTATTTCATTTTTCTCCCTAGTTCCATTATCATGATGGATTATATTAACATATTCCCTCCCAGTGAACCACTCTTCCTTGTCATTCCAGAATCCTACACTGTCATGATGTTTTATTACTTTCATGTGTTGTGGATTTTGTTTCAAAGCCCTTACTCCTAACCAATGAATGCTCAATGAAGTCCTCATATCAGCCGGGGCTGACACAGACTACCAGAGAACAATGAACATTAGCAATGTCTGCTGTTTATCTTAATGGTAGCCAGAGGAAAAAGAGTGATACTACTGGTTTCAAGTGGAAAGTAAGCAGGAATGCACCAAACATCTTATAAGGCACAGGAAAGGCCCCCACAACCAAGAATTATCCAGATTCAAATGTCAATATTGCTGACACTAAGAAGCTATGTCTTAAGGAACTGCCATTAGCTCATGGTATTTGAAAAGAGCAATGACGGCTGGCTCTAACTGCTTTCAACTACTCAGGGGAAAAGCAAAGGTGGCAGGTAGGAGCACAGGCCTTCAACAGAGGGAGAGCAGCATGTGGAATCAATTAAGTGGGGCCCTTCCCAATTTTCACAGTGAACATGGCAATAGACTCCTTGCATTCCATTCTTATTTCAGATGCAACATCTAAGAATCTAGATTTCTGAATATGAGAAGTATAAAGGTCAATGAGGTCAGTGCAAACGTTCAAAGAACCAATACTCTTATTCAGAATAAAAATTCACATGCATGGATTCTCATCCAGATCCCACCCAACTATATCCAAAGATGCGATGTGAAAAGGTTTCAGAAATTTCCCAGGCACCAAACCCAATGCTCTGAAGTTTGGCTGTCCATTCCCAGTACTTGGGTTTGCCTGGGTGGCATCTGTGTTTAGAAATGCCAAGATCAATACCGTAATTTAGAAAGTTACCTCCCACTTGGGGTCTCCATCAATTTCCACCACCTTCAAGCCATGTTTGTTCTTCAAGTGTCTGTTGAACTCCCATTTGGTACCATACACAAAGCTGCAAACAGGACACTTCAAACCACCTGCAGGCACAGACGGTAAAAAGATGTGTTCAAAGCACATAAAAATGGCACAGTTCTTCCTAGCTAAATACCTTGAATCTAAGCTGTATGTTTTTTTGTCTCTAGTATTAGAGCCTGTTTAAACTTCCCTCAGTAGTGGAATACAACAGCAACAGTGTATATGTCTTTCAGAGAGAGAGACAGAGAGAGATTTTAAAATTTAATTTGAATAAAAATTTGAAAAATTAATTTAATTTGAATAAGCATTTACAGACAGCCTAATACATGCTTGACATTTTAAATGCCAGAAAGAAATGGAATAAGTAACATAATTCCCTTGGTTGGGTGTGTAAGCAGCTAAACATCACTTTCATGTTTTTATTTGCAAGTAACAATTTTGAAAAAAACAAACAAACAAAAAAAACCAACACACAAGGGCACTGGCTCCTTTTGTCAATCTTCTTTGCCCAAACCACTTAAGAACAGAAGCCAGATTCTCAGTCTCCTTCACATCAGAAGCGAGGTCACTGGTACAAATTCCCATGCGACTCTCTCAGTACAGAAGAAATTTAAAAACTGGTCACATCCCGAAATGTCACTATTTATTGAACTGATTAAATTTTGCACATGTTCCAGGAAGTGTTTGGTGCTTTAATTAGGAGAATGTGAAACTGAAGGTAAAACAAAAGAACAACAACAAAAAAATAAAACCCAAAGAACTAAAGAGACACACAAAAGCCTATACTTTCTGAAATTACATTAGAAGCAGCAACTCAGCTGGCCACTGGACAAACATCCCTGAACAAGCCATGCCTTCCAAACACCCACCCCGGAGGCTCACTGCAATAACGGCATAAGCCCCCACTCTCCTGGCCAGGGTCAGGCTTGCTGCCAGTGCCGCTGGGCCTCAGCAAAGTGCCACTGCATGGTCACGTAGAGCACTGAGATCATCCAATTCCAGCAGCTCACTCCCCCCAGTGGCAAGCTCCTGGGTCTCTCTCCTTTAGTGCAATGAAGCCTATTCCACTGTTTTCTCTACTAGAACCCAGTGGCTCTGCACTCCAGTGGCTTCTCCTCTGCACTGTCCTCCTTTCACTGCACCCTGGGATCTCAGAACACTTGGGCAACAAAACTCCCCAACATTAACCTCACCAAGTAGGGCTTGCTCCTTCCTCCCCATCTTCACTTTCTCTACAGAGTCCTCTCAGTGAGGGTTGCTCACGTTTAGAAGCCCAGGTAAGAAAGAAACCACTCTAGGGTGGTCCTGCCAGCTCCGCTGCAAAACAGGATTCCAGATTTATCCTTCCTCCCACAGCACTGTATGCCTGTGGAACACAGCCACCTGGGCCTCTTCACTTAATGTCTATAATATTAATTGATTTCAGGGCACAGCCCTCACAGGTCTTTGCCCTCTCCTACTCCAAGAAACCTCCTTACCAATTTGCTGTTTGTGAAATCTCATGCAGTCATTCATGTAATTGCTGAGTGCCATGCTTGGGGCTAAATCCAAGCACCCCAGTAGGATGCCTACAGCCCTCCTGTTCAGTCACTTACACTACCATTCTTTGGCTTTGCCAGGAACGCTGCGCCTCTCCTCTTTGCGGTTCCTCTCCAAGGAGCCTATACTTGCACTAGTCCTCATCCTCCACAACTCCTCTATCAAGTCCATAGGCAAAGCCACAGCCCAGAATCCCCAGCTACTGGCCATCTTTGCTCTGATCCCAGGGTGCTGAAGCAAATGACACAAACAGTTGTTTTCACTGTCAAGATTCCAACTTCAAGAGTGTTTTCATGCACCACAAAAGTCCTTACCTCTTACTTCAAAATGACAATATGAAGCAAGATCTTTTTCAGCTGTCTACTAGAGTGTTCTGTTGCTCTGCACTGTGAGGGCTGGACAGACTGCAAATGTGCATGAGTATCCCCTCCCCTCCAGAGACTACCCTTCTATCCTATAGCACTGACGCAGCCCTGGAAGAATGGATGTCCTTTCCATAACAAACAGCTAACTCTCTCTTTATCACTCTGAAGTGAAATCTGCAGGCAAAGTAACCACCCAGATATTGTCTAGGTAATATGCTAACATGAAAGTGAAAGGGAATGTGCTAGACACTAAACTGTAGTTAAACTATATATTGTATAAACTGTGACACAATTGCAAATATTTTTAAAAAGCTCCTTGAATATTCAAGCTTTCTCTGCGTGCCGGTCACACTACACTGAGCATCCTGTGACATGCTTTCCCACAGCGCTTCCCTCTCATGTGACCGGGCCTCTTGCTTTCCTGTTAGCTGGCTCGTATTCACAGCCCCTGTACAGCAGGCTGGATGCCCAGATCTTCTGCAGGTTCCTCCTCCCACCCACTCTAAATGAGCACATGCCCAGGCCTGCTGCTTCTTGGGCGTGATCCATAAGCTCGTAACGGTCCTGCCTGTAGCTGCAGCCCAGATTTCTGCCCTGAATTCCAGGCTCACAGATTGCTTAGCAGGCATCTCATCCTCAGAAGGGCCAAACAGAACCATGCAGCCCCATCACTTCCCCAGCCCTCCTGATCCAGGCTACCTCAGCCTTTGGCACAGATGGGAGCAACCAGCACTTCACTGGTCTCCTGGCAGTCCTGTTCCCCACTGTTTGTCTACTCAAAAAAAATAGCAAAATGTGCTTTTCAAAACAAACTGAATCACATGTTGCACACATGTAAAGCACTCCTATGGTTCTCAGTCACATCCAGAATAAACTTCTGGCACCTTACTATGGCCTGAAAAGCCTAGCAACCTTGCCTGTGGCACACTGTGATACTGTCTCCATCCTTCTGCCTTGCATTCTCCTTTCTTGGTCTTTCAGGCCACAGAAGTGCGTTCCTTCTCAGGATACCTGCTGTGTCCCCTGTTTTGAAAGCTACAATGATTAATCTTCACTGTCAAATTGATTGGTTTGGGAGATACCTTAGGAGATCAGCAAAACACCTCTGGGTGGAGCTGCATGGGCCATGACCTTGGGGACTATATCTGGCCTCTCATCCCTTCCACTCTGACTCTCTTGATCACTCCGCTTCTGCCCTCCCTGATGTGAGCATCTTTTCTCTTGCCTCACTTCCCGCCACAATCTTTCTGCCGTGGAACCAGCCAACCACAGCTGCAATCATGAGCTATAAGAAATCCTTCCTCCTTCAAACTGTGTATGTCAGGTATTTTTTATTAGCACGTTTGCAATGAATGCAGTTTACAATCATCTTGGGGAATAGGTACATGCACATAATACAGCTTGATTCTTTGTTTCTACCCCTTCCCTCCTGCCTGTCTCCCTGTTCCTCTAAGTCCCCTTTCCCCATTTCATTCTTGTATGCATTATCAAGTATTTTGTCCCAGTGATGAGAAGCCAATACAGAAGCTCTTCCTCCAAGATCTCATCTGATCTTCACTCCTACAAAGCATCTTTCCAATTCAAACTCCTGCATTGGCTCCTTATCTTCTCTCTGGAGCCCTGAACCCTTTCTAACAGTCCAGCCCTTGTACATCCCTGATGCACATGTCACGATGTATAACAGTGTTCTATATCTACAGAACCTCGAAGACCTGAACAAATTAGAGATGCTTATATTAGGCAATGAAATAATTGAGCTCACCACTGAGTGTATGACAAGCTGTCATATTTATTTATTGTTCACTGAAGCCTGTTATGACTTATATCTAGATGTTCCCCCAAAGCCTCATGGGCTCATAAGTGGGGCTTTTGACTGCATCATGGGTGTTTGATACTGGATCAGTCCACTGATGGGTTTATAGCTAGGTGTGACATTAAGAGGTGAAACCTGGTGGGTCACTTTGGGTGTGACCTGAAAGGGTGTATAAATATATACCTCTTCCTTCACTGATGGCTCTGATTCCTGCCTGCCAAGCCATGAACTGTTTCTCCTCTGCTGTACCCATCTTCCATGGCACCTTGCCTTGGAGCCAGCCAACTTTGGACTGAAACCTCCACAATGTGTGAGACAAAATAAACCTCTCCTCCTTTAAACTATGTGTGTTAAGTATTTTGTCCAATCAACAAGTGATGGATACCACTATGAAGCAGCTCTGAGCAGGACTTAATTTAACCAGTTAGCTTTCCATATTTACTTGTGAGTCACTGGTCCATACTGAGGCCTGTAATAGTGGGTGAAGCCATGAGGCCTCAAAGCACAAGAAAAGGCCACAGCTGAGGATTTTTGGTTCCAACCCCAGTTAACTGAAAGGAGACTGTAGCTGTTGGCATTTCACTCCTGCCATGAAGGCCTTCCTGGAGATAACATAGTTCTCCTAAACTAACATAAAGTATTACTTGGAGAAGTCCTTATAGGGATTCCCAAGTCCTGCCCAGATTCCTGCATTTTCTTCAGTATCCCTCCCCTTTGTTTGAAAACCTAATAAATACAGGCCACCCAGGGAAGTCTTGGTCTTAACCCAGAGAATCTTGAATTCTGTGAGTGTGGGTTGAACCCTCCTGGAGCCCTAAAATCATTTCAATTGTTTCATCTATTTAAGCCTTTGCCATCCATTCATTTGGGAGATTGTGGACCTGATCAGCCTGAAATAATTAAGGGTTATTAACCCAATAAACAAGAAAGTAACTTAGACAGATTTTGGTACCACAAGTGGGGTTGTTGCAATGACTGCACCTATCCACTGATTCAGAAATCTATGGAACTGACTTTCAGGAAGAGTTTGCAAAGGTATGGAGATGCTAACTAGAGAAGTAGCTTGTTATGGTTGATACACTGTATCACCTTGAGGAGTCTAAAAGCTTAACTAAGTGACTCAGCAGCTTTATATCCTGGGGTAAAAAGGACATGCCCTTATCCTCTTAGAATGCTGAGTTGAGCTTGATGGGAGATTTTGTTCTGAGCTCAGAAGACCAGAATATTGACAGCAATGCAGCTAGGAAAGAGCAGGCTAAAGAGGTTTCAGCTGGGCAAAAGGACTCCATTGGCAGCTAGACTCCTTGCTATGAGTGCTATGCTCTGGCAGAAAATTTGTCTGTAT